CTCCCCCAAGGCTGCCATGGTCTCTGTCCCTGCAGGATGCTGGGCTCTGCGGGGCCCAGCGGAGGTGAGCGGCTTCCCGGGGGGGTCCGTGGAGGTACCCTGCGAGTACACGCCGGAGCTGGTGGATGCCAATAAGTACTGGTGCAGGGGCAGCAGCTGGCTTTTCTGCTCCATCCTCGTTCAGACCACGGCCCCCGGGGACAGGGCATGGGGGGACAGGGTCTCCCTGCAAGATGACCCCACTCAGCACCTGTTCGTGGTGACCATGGAGAACCTGACAGTGGAGGACGGGGATCAGTACTGGTGTGGGATCCAGCAGGCCTGGTATGACCCCATGTTCCCTGTCATGGTGTCTGTTCTCCCAGGTAAGTGCCTGGCGTGGCTGTTCTGCTGTGGTGGAGGCTGGAGGGGCAGAGGGAATGGAGACAGGGGAGGCTTGAGAGGGCCAGGGAGAGCTGAGGATGGAAGAAATCCCTCTCCCTGCTGCCTCTGGTGATTTCCCAGCACAGCCCCCCTCTTGCTCCCATCGTGCACGCAGCCTCCCTGGGGCCATGCTTGGCATTTCCTGGCCACCCTCCATCACCTCCCCGCCAGCAGCCCCAGAGCACCATCACCATCCTCAGCTACAGCCTAGGACCAGGTAACGCACACCATGGCGCTTTGCTTCCCATCTGTTTCCACCACAGTGCCCAAGACAACACACTATGACCTCCACACGACACAGGGGGAAGAGGCCACATCTGCTCCCACCTTCCCATGGACTCCCCTGGAGCTGGAAAGCACCACGTCCACGCCAAAAGTCAGAAGCCTGGAGGCTGGGTGAGTGCCAGAGCCTCCGGAGAGGAGAGGGACCGTCCCCAGGACAAGGGCCAGGCAGCCCAAGGATGCAGCCTCCAGCTCCAACCTGCCCACACAGGGCTTTGGGGCCAACGGAGCGTCTCTGGAGAAAGCAAAACGTGATGCTAAGGGGGCTGCTGTACCCCTGCATGCCCTAGGGCTGCACTGGTGGGGGCTTCCAGAGTCTTTGCCGAGCTCCTGCAGGGCTGTTGGGGTCCCCGACACCCAAGGCAAGTGCGTGTCACATCTGGGCACTTGTCCTTGGACATGGGGGATACACGTGTGCAGCTGGCTGATGCCAAGTTGGCCAGACTTTGCGTGCACGCGTGCATGGATCCCTGGCCAGGAAATCTGGGAGAAGTCCTTGGAACATCTTTGCTAGCCCGTAGAGTCTCATGGTCCCCTGGGGTTGTGCTAAATACAGGCATGAAAGCCCTCTCCAGGGCACAGGGCTGCAGAAGGGGAAGCAGAGAAGGGCAGTAACACCCTTTTCTCTCCTTTTAGCACCCCAAACCTGCTTGTCCTGGTCCTGACACCCTCCGCTGCACTGGTGCTGGTTTTGGTCATCGTCATCTGCCACAGGAGGAGAAGAGCATCGCTGGAGAAGAGCAGAGGTACAAGTGATCTGGGGGCCCAAGCTGTGGCCTTCCTCTGTGGGGTGGCTGTGGGAGTCCTTGTGCTGCTCCTCAGAACCCATGTCCCCACCCCAGCACACCGCTGGCTGCCCTCCCGCTCCCCTTCCAGGGGTGAGCAGGGCTTGGGGTGACAGGTGCTGAAGCCCTCCCCAGGACCCCAACCCACCGAGCCCCACAGTCCAGGGGCTCTTGGCAAAGTCAGGCCAGGCTTGAGGTTGCACAGGAGGTGATGTAGGCACCCAGGGGGAAGGGCTCGGGACCTCCCCAAAATGCTCCCCTCAGCAAAGGGAGCTCCACGTTGGTCTGACCTATTTCTTTTCCTCTTCCCCCAGCAGCCTGGGCCACAGAGAGGAAGAGAAACAAGGACCTCCAGGTACCATGGGTGGGAGGGCAGTGGGACGGGGGGTCTTGTGATGGCTCCACCATGAGGGAGCCACTGCTCGGAGCCCCTCGTCCTCAACCCACCTTGGCCCCTCCAGGTCACTGCAAGCTGGGAGCGAGCAGCTGCTTCCAACAACATCTACATGAACAGGGAGTGGGAGCTCAGCTCGCCCGAGGATGACTATGAGAACAGCCCGGCCAAGTGGCAGGTAAAGGGGCTGGGGCACCTCCCGGGGCATGCAGCAACTTACCCCACGGGTGCTCCTCGCTCCCAGCCCTGCAGCAAGGAGGAGCAGCACCTTGCTCTGGGGTGTAGCAAGGAGGAGCAGCACCTTGCTCTGGGGTGCAGCGAGGAGGAGCTGCCCTGCTTCGGGGTCACACTCCATCCCCCCATCAGCCTTTCCCTTCCCTTTAACCACCTGTCCCAGGCAGCAGCTATCCCACCCTGTAGGAACAGGCATTACATATTCACCACTTCTATGGCTTTAGCATAGGCAGACCTGCAAAGCGCCCCAAATCTTCAAATTTCTCCCCCATTTCAGGACTATGAAAAGGGAGATGAAGCTCCCATTTCCAGAGCTCCAGAAGCCCAGCTGATCTACATGAACACGCGCTGAGCGGGTCCACATTTTGGCCATTTGCTGCCAGACAGCCCCGTGCCTGGGGCCAGGCACCTCCTGCAGCTCTCCCACCGTCTGGGACGTGTTTCCCCACTGCTGCCCAAGCTCTCTTGGCCACTCCAGCTGTGATTCCCTGTACCCCACAGAATCAATCCCTGTCCCCGCCGTACCGCACAAGACCAGGGACCCCAGCGTGCCATGGGGTCCCGCAGTGGGATGCGTTTGCCAGCAGGCCAGCAGCGCTGTTCATCCCCACCCTGCCTTGAGGTTATTAAACAAGATGAAAGCTGAAGACTTGGGATGTGTTTAAAATACTCCCCAACCAGGGGTTAAAAGCCCAGCAGCCCCAGTCCAGAGGACCAGGGGATGTGACATCTTGGCAGCCCCTTCTTATCTTCCATGGCTCTTAAGGAGAACATGGGGAGATATGACCTCCGTCTCCTCCCCGGGTGACTCTGAGGTGCCCCAGGAAGGAGGTGCCGCCATGGCCGCTGAGGTCAGCCCTGTTCCCACACAGCCCTCGGACTCTTGATTTTTTGCCGGGCGCCTCATTCCCTTCCCTCCCAGTCAATGCACAGAGCGAAGGAGCTGAAGGGCAGGGTGGGGAGGAGAGAGGGTCCTGGGAGACCCTAGCTGCAGGGGGTCCCATCCTGCTCCCCCCAGCCCCTTCTCCTGTGCAGATGTCAGGATTTCAGCCAGCTATCCCATGCAGGGCAGCTGCGGAAAAAAAAGCCCGTTTAGGTCGATCTCGTCATCTACCCAAATATAATCACCCTGCTGCGAAATGGAAACCTACGCAGCAGTTGTAGAAAGAGGAAGAAAAACCACAAGGGCAGAAAGAAAAAGCAGTGGGGAGACGCTGCACAGAGGGCCTGCGGACAGCCCTGCGGGACCAGCCCAGGCAGTGGGTGCCCAAGCTGGAGCTCAAGCCGGGGGGAAGCTCAGCTCCATCCCTGCCCTGCCATAGTCCAGGAGAGCTCCTCTGGGCTCTGCTTGCTCCCAAGGGCAACCCCAGCCCCACTGTCTGCAAGAAGCTCTGGTGCCAAATGGGGAGCAGAAGCACGGGGGGGACCTGCTGCCTGGACCAGCTCCAGCCATGCAGCTCTGCTCCCAATTTTCCCCTGAGCCCCAGCATGGTCATACCTGAGACAAAAAAGCCAGAGGAGGAGGAGGAAGCCCCACATCCTCCAAACCACTTTGTCCCAGTAAGCACCATTGGCAGAGCTGCCCTCCAGCCACCCAGCCGCAGCCCTCAGTGCCCCGTGGCAGCTCCGGGCGATGTCGGGATCACTCCTGCTCCCTCCTTTCCGTATGTCCCACCTCTCCCACTTCCCCCCAGACCAGCTGCAGACCCCAGCAGAGCCAGGGGCTTGACCAAGTGCTGGCAGAGCCCCAGCGTACCCCCCTCAGCCAAAACACAGCCCCGGGGCTGAGCTGACGCCCTCCGAGTGCCCGAGAGGCTGCACCCAGCTGGGCATCACTTCTTAGCCTGGCTGAGGGGGAGCACTAGGACACACAGCCCCCCAAGGAACGCAAGGTGGGCTCTGCAAAGATCAAGCAAAGACCACAGCTCCCGTGCTGGTTTTGCCCCATTTTGGCGTTGCAAGCTCTGCTCAGCTTGGCTCTTTTGGGTGAAGACCCCTCCCACCTTAAACCCTCTTGCCAAGTAGGGTGCACGGGGTCCCATGTCCCATTTCCGTGGCTGCCCACCCTCCCCGGTGTCCTTCAGAGGTGCCAGTCTGCAAAAAGCATCTCAGCGACTTGTTGCTGGTAGCAGAAAACCCCCAGCCCTGAGGCGAAGGCCGGCCAGATAAAAATAACCCGGCAGCGGAGCCGTGCGCTTCGCCACCGCCTCTTGCACGAGCGAAAAAGCCACGGCAGGAGCGGAGAGTCAAGGCTTCCCATCACCACGGCCTCACTTCTGGGGCTAAAAGCCAGCAGATTGGGTCTCCCCCAAAGCTTTCCCAAGGGAGCTGAGAAGGCCAGGCTTGGGGGAAGGCACTGCTTCTCTCCAGCATCCCGGTGGTTTTCTCTGCAGTTTGCCAGGCGCTGGTCATCCCCGGGGAGGTCAGCGGCCGGGCGGAGGAGAAGCTTTCCCTCCGCTGCTGGTGACCCCCGGAGGGCTACAACAGGTACTGGTGCCGGGGGGCCAGCTGGGACTCCTGCCGCAAGCTGGTGGAGACGGCGGGCAGGGAAGTGCCCCAGCAGCACGGCCAGGTCTCCATCCAGGACAACCACGTCTTCTGCGTGGTCCTGCTCACCGTGAAGAACCTCTCTGAGGCGGATGCTGGGAGTTACTGGTGTGGGGTCGAGAAGATGGGCAGGGACCTGATGGAGACGGTGACAGTGAAGGTGATGCCAGGTGAGCCCTGGTGCCCAGCTGGCTGGAGGTTTTGCTGGCCAGGAATCTTTTGGGAAAGGCCGCTGGCTCGTGGGCCAGCAGTGGCCTGGGAGGAGGCAGCGACACTGGAAAACACCCCTGGGACCCAGTATAAACCAGTGGCAGAGGTTGGGAGGCATGAAAGGTTGCTTTCTTTTGGGGATGCTCGCAGATGCAGGCAGAGTGTGCTGGAGCCCAAAGCAGCTTCCAGCCCCAGGCTGGTTTTGGGGCTCCCAGCACCCCTCACCACGCGGGCAGGATGGCAGAGTGGCCGGTTACACGCGGCAGCGAGAGCTGAGCCCCAGTGCTGAGGCCAGGGAGCGCCTGCCAAACCCGGCCTCTGACAGCCCAGCGGCTGAAGGTTCAGTTTCTGGACCAGGAAAAGGGGCAGATCTGACCCCTCCCTGCCCTCGGGGAAACCTCTGGTTCCCAGCTGGTGGGCAGGGGTCTCGCCTTGGGGACACAGAGCGCAGAGAGGTGATGGGGGGGGCAGCTGGGCAGGCAGGCGCAGGCAGGACACGTCCCACAGGGATGCTGGTGGGGCAGGAGCACGTGCTGGAGGGGACACGGGCAAGGATTCGCCTGCTGCTGGAGGAGCTGTGGGGGGCCCACGGTCACCTCCAGCCCCCAGTTCCCACCAGGACCTGCTTTTACCCAGCCTTACCAGCTACCCCAGCTACCCCCACCCCCTGGATCTCCACCACCGTGACAGAGCATCCCCCCAGCACCACCGCGGGGTGAGCCCGGGGCCCTGGGGTGCAGGGTGGGCACGGGGAAGGGGATGGTTCTCACCACCGCGGGCAGAAGTGGGTGCGTCTGTGTGAGGGGGCTCGCAGGGACACGCAGGGTCTTCTCGTGCCAGCCTGGGCTTTTGGGGTGACGCAGCGGGGTCCCAGGCTGTTGTCCCCGCTTTGCATCCCACCCCATGACTGACTGCAGAGGGGATGCAGCGGGGCACCAGCACGCAGGGTGCTGCAAAAGCAAAGCCCCAGCCTTAGGAGGGAGCGAACAAA